TTTTTTGGGTGGGTGGGGGGGGGGGGCCGGTAACATACATACCAGCCATGTTAAAGGCATCGTTCAGAAAAAACCTCTTACGCACAGTAAAAGTTTTTTTCTGAACGATGCCTTTATATATATATTTGTGTATGTTACCGGTACGTAATTAATTAAAAGTTTCAAAAGATCTTTCTGTACAAATTAGTTTTTTTATATTAGGGTGCGCTCTGTAGTCCGGAAATTATGGTAATGTAAGAAGCCGTAAACAAAGAAACAAAACTCTTTCATTTTATAAATTGACTTAAACTTTGATAATAATGTTATTTATAATTTTTTTATTTACATATTGGATCATCAGTTCCACTCGATATGAACCGTTTATCACTCACGTCTACGATCAGCTTGTGTTTTTCACGTCTCCCTCTCCGCACACATTTGTTTTAAGTGCTTCCTTCTTCGTGTGTTTGTGTTTGTGCATGTTTGGTCCACAGCAGCATGTGTATCCCCCCAGTGCACTGACAGCCACCTAACCCCCCTCCCCCTTTTCTCCTCCAGCCAGCTGACACTCTAATTGAAATGGGAGTGAGTGTCAGCCGTTAAGTGTGCCCTGGTGCGGGTGTGTGTGTCTGTGCACACACACCCATCTTCACGCTCTTTGCCTCTGTGTTTCTGTCACTCAGACTCCCGCATACTCTTTCTACAACACTGTGTGATTTTGCCTGTGTTTGTGTGTAATATTTTTTTTCTGCCAAACGTTTTGGCAGAAACACATATTCTAAAGGAAAGAGTTCTATCCTGTTAATGTGTTTAGGTGGGCACATTTCTTTGAGACCATTAAGGGAGGTGTTCCACCATCTATGGGAGTTATCCTGCATTGATTAGCAATAAGCCAGACAATATAATAGTGACATAACTCATAAGAAGATTGCTTTATGTGTGGAGGTGCACAGATAGGTGGCACATTCTGTTCTGTTCAAAGCCACACATCTTGTGTACAGTCATGGGGAGAAAAAGTCCATCCATCCATCCATCCATCCCTCCATCCATCCATCCATCCATCCATCCCTTCCTTCCCAGCTTGGTCCTAAGTCAGGTCTCGGGGCAGCAGCTTGAGCAGGGAGGTGCAGACATCTCTTTCCACAGCCACCTTTTCCAGCTCTTCTGGGAGGACTCCCAAGGCGTTCCCAGGCCAACCGAGAGACTTGTGCCCCTTTTGCACTGCCATAGCTATTTATAAGACTGAGCTGAATACAGCGCCTCAGACTGAAGAAGTCTTTTGCATGAAAGAAGAAACGTTTCTACTTTTTTTTGTTGTTGTTTTGTTTTTTGAATGTCCAGAGGACCAGACTTAACATTTTTAGATTTTTCTACCTGGATTATTGAGCATGCATCAGGATATCTATATTTAAAATTCTATATTTTTCTTCATCATTTAATGTATTTGCACTCATTGTGGTTTTGTTTCTTGTATACAGATTATTTTTTCTTGTATACAGATTATTTTTTTCTTGTATACAGATTATTGTTTCTTGTATACAGATTTTTTTTAGCTTTGAATTAAAGTTTAGCTTTGATTTAAAGCTTTAATTTAAAGTGTAATGCTTGTTTTGTGATTTGTACATCTGTGGATTAGAATAAAGTTGAACCAAAGGCTGTGTCTCTTCTTTAAATGTTAGAGGGAAATATTCCTGAGAGATCCAATAATTTTGTGTCTTTTTATGATTTTTCAGTTGAATTAACTTTAATTAACAGATTATATAATAAAGTAAAAGAGAAAACAGGATTTCACGATAAAGCCGGCACCGTTCATTTATTTTTAATCTTCACTGATTAATAAAAACTTGTTTTTTTTTTATACATAAAATGTTTTTAAAAAAACGTTTCCAACTTCCATCCCTCCATCCCAGTCCTCCTGCCTGCCAGGGCTCGAATCCGGCCTTTGTGAGCAGACGAGGCCAGGGCTCTGGGTCCGGCCTCGCAGACTTCAACGGCTCGGCAGCTCGTATGATCCTCCACGGTGACACTGCTCGCTCAAATTTTATCATCGGTCACCAAAAACAAAAAAATACCTGGACTTCAGCATTAAACACGGCGTTGTCGTTGTTTTTAAATCTTTAAAATATATCCTGCTGCTGCTCCACATCCAGAGAAATTGCAAATGGCGGATCAGTGAAAAGTTCCTGAGATCCAGTGACTCCTCCCCCTGACCAATCAAGAGTCCTGCATTCACATTTCGGTTTGGACTCAGCTGGACTGAGCTCGCTCGGTCCCACCAGAGAAGCAGGGACGAAAAGAGGTCCTGAATCAGCCTCAAATCGGCTAAAAATACTATCTGAAGTGCTGGTGCAAAAGGGTTCTGTCTGTGGCGAGCTGCCCAGAATTGGGGCTTATTAGGGGCAGTGCAAAAAGGGCAATAGTCTCTCCAGCGTGTCCTGGGTCTTCCCTGGGGTCTCCTCCCAGTCGGACATACCCGAAGTACCTCTCAAGGGAGGCGTCCAGGGGGCATTTTTACCAGATGCCCGAACCACCTCAACTGGTTCCTCTCGATGTGGAGGAGCAGCAGTTCTACTCCCAAGTCTCTCCTGATAACTGAACTTCTCACCCTGTCTCTAAGGGAGAGTCCAGCTACTCTGCGGAGGAAACTCATTTCAACTGCCTGTATCCACGTTCTCATTCTTTCAGTCACTACCCAGAGTTTGTGACCATAGGTGAGGGTAGGAATGTAAACCAAACAGAGAGCTTTGCCTTACATCTCAGCTCCATCTTCACCACAACGGACCAGTACAGAGTCCACAATACTGCAGACGCTGCACCAATCGGTCTGTCAATCTCATGCTCCATTCTTCCCTCACTCGTCCACCCTTTCTCATTTCTAGGGTTTTACATATCAGGACATACCGTATTCTTTGGCCTATAAGTCACGCTTTTTGCATAAATTGCATGCCTTTCGACTTATACCCTGAATCGACATATTTATGGATTTTTTTCTTCCATATTTATAAACCAGCTTTTGGCTGAGATATGACTGGGTTTTTTTTTTTTTTCATTCTGACTGAAAATATTGAACACTGCCATTTTCAGCCACTAGATGGTAGCAGAGTAGTTTGGCATGCTGTTGTGTCATGTAATAGGTAAAAGTGGCTATTAATGATACAATTGGCTTGCCATAGCCTGCCACCTTGGCCCAACTCGCATGGAGCAATCGTCAAATCAGCTTTATTTTGCTGCGCCGCCCTGGTGAAATGCAGCTAATTTGACCATTAAAGTGCATTTATTAAGTAAAACTTAAACTGAGAAACACCTTTACTATAATGTCGAACAAACAATTGTTTTTATGTAATCTTGTTAAATTCTTATTAAAGTCCTCTAATGCATGCTTCCATGGCTGCCATTTGACTGCCAATCGATTTTTGGCACAACACCGGCCCATATTTCCGGGTTGTCAGCGATGATGCGTAACAAATGCGATGCATAAGCGGTGACACACAATAGATGCGATGTCTACAGCGAAGCAACATATTTATAGATTTTTCTACTTTTATTATACATATTTGGACTGATGCGACTTATAGGGCGTTGTGACGTGTACGGTGAAAAATATGGTGATATAAATCTAGTCTTTACCAGGTTCTAAGATTATTCCATTTTAACCTCAAGTGTTCAAAACACTGAACTGATTTCATCTTATTATTTTCAGCAAAAATGAAGTAAAGTGATGGGGGGCATGTATGTATTTTCTTGACTGTTCTCACAAGATATGTAAGGGGAAAAAACTGAGCTTTAAAAGGCTAAAATTAAGACAAAATGTCAGTGGAGCTGTTGAGTATTGATTGTGCACAAATAAGCTTCATGTGTTTTGGCAGATGTGTATGCGCACCCCCTGACCCAGACTTACACCCGCACACCAGCATTCACATGTACACAGCCAGTGTCGGCTCAGCGTGATGGTTTATGAATGAACAAATCGCCAGAGGAGGCAGAGAACGGAGGCTGGATGATCTAAGAATGATTGAAGTGGATGCAAGAGAGGATAGGAATAGAAACGTGCGTGTGTGAGCGTGCATGCGTATAACCGAAGTAAGAATCCAGGCAAAGTGAGCTCGTCAAGTGCCGAGGGAAGCGAGATGGCGATGAAGACGGAGGAGTAAAAAGGTGGTATGAGGCGGTGGGAAATGAGATTGCGCGTTGCAAGATTTGAGTGCACGTTTCTCTGCACTCCTGTGTGGGAGTGCGTGCACGCGTGTGACATGCTGAGCCACCCTGCTGCGCCTCATTAAGCCCATGTAGCGTGCAGCTCCGGACCTCGTCATCTCTCCTCTCAAAGGGCTCAGAGTGTCAGAGGAGCGCGTTAGAAAGAGAGTGCAGTGGGGTTTAGGTGTGGGGGGATGGGGGTGGTTCTATTACCTCGTGGCATTGATTTCTTGACAACTGCGTTCGCTCTCCCCATAGTAGATCTGTGTCACCATTTCTATCTCTCCTCCTTTCACATTGCAGACTTTCTTTAAAGTTTTTTTTTACACTCCCAGGTTCCTCGTGTCCCCCTCCTTTTCTTTTGTTTTCCTTTTCCCACCAGCCCTCTCATGTTCAGCCCAAACACGACCTCCGTCTGGATTCTTTCCTACCTCCCAGTGTGCTCTAGTTAAACTGACTTCCTTTGCTCCCCTCCACCTACTGCACACTCACAGCGCTGTCCATCAGAGAGGGTTGGAGTATGCCCCACTGGCATAGAGTGATGGTGTGTGTGTCTAGGGGGCACAACTTGAGAGGAATCGAGTGTGTGTCAGCCATGTCACTACTACTCGATTGACCGTACTTGCAGCAAGTCAGGGGAGGACTTCCACTCTATTGACCACTCAACGCTGTACGCTCTATAAAGTATCGACTGCAACACAGCCGTCCAAGTCACTGGACCACACACCACCTCTGTCCCTCATTCACACATGCACACAGATGTCTTTAAAGGCCGTCACTACTGCTATCGTATTTTAGTTACAGACAGCATGAGCCTCTCCAGCCTCCTTAATCTCTTAGCCGTAAAAATATATACCTCAATGTTTTTTACACATCTATGGTAACACTGTCCTACATTCACCTATTGAATGAGGACAGAGACACCCAGTTTGTTTTTTTTATACAGACATTTCCTCTGAAAATTATCTTTTCCCCAACAGTTAGGGTAATTATGGTTGGTATTACCATGAGTAATTGTCTGTCTGGCTGTATAGACATTTGTCTGCACCTGAAAAATGACCCTGATGTCGGTGCCAACAAAGAGAGGAACTAAAGAAGACAGCAGTTCTTTTTTGACTACCGTATTTTCCGGCGTGTAAGTCGCTCCGGAGTATAAGTTGCATCAGTCAAAAAAAGCATCACAAAGAGGAAAAAAAGCATATATAAGTCGCTTCTGCGTTCCTATAAGTCGTGTTTATTATGCGTCACCACTGACCCCAGGGAAGTGCGGGCCAGTGTTGTGCCAAAAATTGATTGGCGGCCGCGGGAGTGCACACAGGACTCGCTATTGCATTTCTTCGAAATTTAACAAGATTATCACTTAAAAACAATTTGTTTGCTTGACATTATAGCAGAGGTGTATCTCAGTTTAACTTTTCCTTAATAAATGCACTGTAATGGTCAATGTTTGGTGGGGGGGTAGCGGTACAGGAACAAATATGCCTACCGGTAGTTGTCAAAAGCCTAGAGGGCACTCTTGCGCCTTTAGTGGCTGCAACGTTTACTCTGGTTCATGTCAGTATGAATGAACATTTAAAGCGTCAGTCAAAAATTGCGTCATGAATATGGAAAAAAAAACCTGTATATAGGTCGCTTCGGTGTATAAGTTGCAGGACCTGCAAATCTACCTAAAAAACTGCGACTTATATGCCAGAAAATACTGTATTTCTTGTGCAGAACTGCCTCTTGTCTGTCATAATAATGTAATAAATGTTTGGCTTTTATCAGGTTGTACCATCTGATGGCGTGGGGGGTACCTTTGATCATGGCCTCTTTGCCGCTGTTCAAGGGTTACTACGGTCCTGCAGGTCCCTGGTGGTGAGTACGCCCAAACAACCAAAACAGCAAAGCCTTTTTTCTGCTGTCTTCTCTTTCAATGAAGGCTCCAGCTCTGTCCTCGTTCTAGCTCTGAGCCTGCCTTAATAGGAGTTAAAAAAAATAGGCAATTATCAGCACGTCTGATCACAGTAAACGTCTCCTCGCACTCTGGTGAATACAAGAGGCATTATTTGTTTGGAGGGGTGAGGATGAGGGGAAGAGGCCGAAGAATGGAGGTGGCAGAATGAGAATTGGGACAGAGCTTTAATCTCTGGGCTCGGCTTTCTCTCTCTCTCGCTGTCTCTCGCTCTCTTACCACTCGGCTTATTAATAGCTGCAGCTGCACAGCTTTTCCCCCTCTGCAGCCACACAAGTCTCGCTTCCGCTCACGCTCTCCCTTTCCCTTTGTGACCCGCTCATCGCTCTCCCTCTCTGTTTCTCTCTCCCCCCAGCTGGATCACAGATGATCACGTAGCCTGGAGATTTGGGATGTAAGTAGACCCTTTCAGCGCTGCCATCAAAAGCCACCCCCACTGGGGAAGATTGGGAGGAGCAGGGGGGGAGAAGAGGGCTGTCTCTGCGAGGAAATGCGAAGGGTTACATGTCAGGGGAGGTTATTTTTTCTTTTTGTACATGGCTAAGAAGTGTGAGCGTGTATGCAGATGTGTGTCTACTTCTGCCTAGTCAGATTTAGAGGAGTTGCAACATTGTGTATATAAGTGTTTAGGACAGCTATGAAGGATTATGCCTGTCTACTGCTTTCTGCAACCGGTCCTAAGTCTGCGAGCGCCCTGCCAATCCCTTGGTGCACATGCACACACACTTCTTCATGAGCCAAGGTAATCGCATTGCTGCTTGCAGCATCAGCAGGGAATCAATCTTTTAAAACAAATAAGCACAAACACACACACACACACAGACAAACCGAGAACAACCTATAGCTATCAGCAGCGCTAAACGAGCCTGTGTCTTTTTTATCAGCGCTCCTCTGCTCCCCAGCTCGGTCTTGTTTTCCACGCTGTTGTGGCCCAGGGGGATGCGCTGCTCAGAGGATCAGGGAATCTTCATTAGCTCTAATTACATCAAACCAGACGAGAGATTAGAGGCCAAGGCAGCACCCGTCAAGGAAAAAAAAAAGAAAGCGCTCAGATTCACGCATCCTGCCTTCAGTGTGTGGAAGGGCAGAGCGTGTGGAGTTAAAGGTGAAAAGTGGAAAAGGTGGGAGGGGTGACATACGGGATGCAGTTAGAAAGAGAGGGAATTACTCAGCAGGAGAATGAAAGACGGGTCGCGTAGCCAAGATGGGAAGGAGCGGGGAGTCAGGGAAATAGATTGTCCTCGTTTCTGCCCACGCTCCGTAGTGTGTCTTCATCAGAGCTCAGCGAAGCGCGCAGACCGAACAGAGGAGACAGGGGAGGTTTAAAGGAGGAGGCAGGGAAAGAGGATGAAAGAGGAAGGTGAATAAAAAGCAGAGGACAGCGCTGTGTGTGTGTGTGTGTGTGTTGTGGAGGTGCTGAGTTTCAGAGGCTGAATCAGCAAATGGAAGTGCCAGAGCTTAGCTGAGTCACCACCCTTAAGAAGTCCCTACTGGTGTGTGTCATCGGCCCCCCCAGACAAATTGCTGTGAAAACGACATACGCAAATGAATTGCTCTGAATTTTTCGCATTTTTTTCAAGAATGGCGGCACGCTCAGTTCATCAGCTGCGCTACAGATTGAAATGTATCAATATTCACACGGTAATTTTCCACACTTTCTGTACGCTCAGCGATGTTTAAGGCCTTGTCATGATTCTTCAGGTCTGCATGTGCTTGGGCCTCATCAACATGCTTGCTCTGGTTCTCATTCCATGTTTGGATCATATTTTGATCAGATGCACCACTGTTTGAATCTACAGTGTACAGTTTTGACTACAGCCTAACAGACAACAATAAAGTGATGGTTTGTCAACTATCTATAAGAAATAGAAGAATAAATAAACTTACAGTAAGTGATTTCTCAATGGCCCTGTGATGGACTTGTGACCTGCACAAATGATGAATGGATGGATGGATGGATGGATGGACGGACGGACAGACGGACGGACGGACTGATGGATGGATGGATGGATGGACAGACTGATGGATGGATGGATGGATGGATGGACGGACGGACGGATGGATGGACAGACTGATGGATGGATGGATGGATTGATTGATGGATTGATTTATTGATGAATAGATGGATGGATGGAAGGATTGATGGATGAATTGATTGATTGATGGGTTGATGGATTGATTGATTGATAGACCAATTGATGGATGGATGGATGGATGGATGGATGGATTGATTGATTGATTGATTTCTCAATGATGACTTCAGTCAAATGTAGCTGCCTGGTTTTAAATTGGCCATATGTGAATAACAGTAAATCTCCTTGCAGAGATGATACAGTCCTGTCTGATGTATGTTTGGTGCCACCTTCTGATTGGAGATTTGGTTGTGCAGTTAATGCTGCTGACGCTCACAGACACAAAAATCCTGTTTGCAAAAATAATTATAAAAGAATTACCAAGAGCCCCATCTGAATTTACTTACCTATGAGACAACAGTGTCTGTATTTTATTATATTTGACCCGTATTTTTATGAACCCTCATAAATTGGTAAACAGGGCCATAGATTCATCTTTCTCTTCAACTCCTATTCTGATTCATTAATTTAAAGAAACCTTTACCTTGCACACTCTGCTCTTACTTCCTGGTTCTCTCGCTTCTCTTTGTCCCTTTTTCAGACCATTCTTTCACTATGTGTTACTGGTCCTCATCCAGAAGCTTCTGCACTTCTTCTCTGTGGTCCATATTGGACCACAGAGAAGAACCTCGTACGTGTACGTGAATGCGACCTTGTACGGTCTACATTTTTCAGTTGTCACGCATACCCACTAATATTGCGTGGCATTTTCACAACTGTCAGGCAACTGGTGCAAATGTCAAAAATTGCTGTTGTATTACATGAATGTTTTGCAACAGTGGTACAATAGTTGTACAGACTCCCAGCAAATGTAAGCCCAACTTTTACATGGAGTTTGTGCAACATTCATCCAACGTTCATACAACATACACAAACATTTCAGTTTAGTGTGATTCCAAGTGAAGATTTATGTTGTTTTTAAATTTTTTATATAATTCTGTCTCTAACTTGTCTGCAATAGTCACATCCCAGTGACAAACTAGCTTGAGGCAGACAGACTGAATCCAACAGAGGTTGACTGATCAGAGTTTTTCTGTGACTGAGACCAATGCCAACCTTTAAAAATCAATCAAGGCCAATATACAATAGATTTTTTTAAGGGATCAATATTTTTTACTAAACAAAATTTAGTTGTTCACCTTCATCCTTACAAGAATTTGCACACATTAAATAAAATATTAAAGAGGATTCTCAACAGAAAATTTAAACTGTGGGCTATAGTAAGCTAGTTGTAGTAGCTGCTGCTTCATCTTCATTTTCCTATTTGTCAATTGATTAAAAATGTACAGGTATAGCCAATATTTTGTAAAATGGCCAATAACGACAGAGTAATCAGTCTATCTCTAATTAAAAACGTCTCTCTTGTCGTCTGTGTTTTGTTCGTGGCTCCCTCATCAGTCTGTTGGGAACATCATCTTTCTGCTGTTGCTTTGATTTCTGCCCTCACCCTGTTTTAAATCGCCAAGAACTTTTCTCTTTTTTCTGCTTTTTATTTTTCCTGATTCAGAGCCACAATCCTGCACCATCCATCCACCTTTACATCCCCACCTCTATTCATCTCCTCACTTTTATCATCCGCTGCCCACTCTGAATCTTCTCTCTACGCTTCTATTTCATTCTCTTTTCTGCCTCCGTCTCGCTCTCTCCGGGTAGTGCTCAGCTGTAGAGCACAGCGGACTCTAATGGCAGATCATTATCATGCTAATTAGAGCACTTTGTAGCTGCCGCCCGTCATTCTCTCCTCCACGCAACCTCCCCTCCTCCCCTCGCACTATCGTTAAAAGGGCCACCCCCTCCTTTCCCCTCTCAACCAACCCGCCCACCTACCCTCACCCCCCAGCTCGTCTTTCCATCATTAACGGGACGGGCGCTGGCGTAATTGGGCGCTGTTTATTCCAGAGAGCAGGTTATTAAATCACACTGAGGTGACGCTTGCACATGTCTCCCCTGAAACGCTTTCATCATTGTCCCATGCCATTATTGAACCTGCATGGATGCACACGTGCGCGTGATGGAGACTAAGCTCGGCGTGTTTTTCTTTTTTGTTGTTTATTAGATTTGAAGCCGCGATTGCGTAAAATGCAGCTTCTCCTTCAGTGCTGCACTTAAACGAACGTTTGCCGTCCCAGTTTTCTCCTGCCAGTAAAAACTTGAACTCTGTCACACCCACCATGCTTTTTTCAGTCCTCAGGCATTGAAAACGAGTCTAAATTAGACCAAGAACTATATTTGTCATTAAGGTGCTTCAGAAAAATGCACTTTGTAGCACGCATGCCAAGGCTGTTTGGTCATTTATTCCCCAATTCATTTTCATTAGAAAGCGTGTGTCCACACATTTATAGGTCAGAGACAAATTCAATCACTCTCTTTGTTTTAAATGTCAGTTTAACATTTTCCTCTCATAACTTTTCATCGCCTTCCTCTTCACTATCAGTACTGGATGCGTATTGTTGGTGCCAGGTTCTCACGAGACGTCGAGCAGCACAGTCACGATTACTGGGCGTGAGTTGCTAAGGCTAAGCAGAAAAGTGGCGGCCAGGAACCTGTCTGTCAAAGCGAGACAAAGACCTGTTTCATAGTTACAGGGAGAGGTTGAAACTCCTCCGAGCTTGCATCACCTCCCAAGAGGTTGCACAACGCAAGGCTGCCACTCCAACAAAAGCCATCGTCTCATTTCCTCTGCTCGTCTCCCTCCCTTTCATCCAGCTCAGAAATGCCTGACATATTATTCACCCACGCCGCCTGTGATTGGCAAACCTCGGTCCCATAGGAGCGCCATGCATTACTGATATTGTCACTGTGCCGGCATAATCTTTTGTTCTAGCTCTTGGCTCGCTGAAAACTGTGAGGTCCAGAGATGCTTAGTCAGGTTTTTTCCTCTCCGTGCTGTCAGGTTATATCCTCCGTGTCCTCTGCACATCTTTTATATAAAGTAACACTGCCCATTGCAGGCCAGAGACACTCATCTCAACAAGTTGTACCCTCAATACCTTCGTATCATCATCTTGTTTCTGTTCAGTGCCCTGAGATGACTTCTGTTGTGACTTGGCGCTATATATAAATAAACTGAATTGAATTGAACTGAAGTTTTAGCCCACATCTCAGCTCTTCTACCGTGTATATATGTATAAGCCAAGATGGCTGTGCTCAGCTGAGCCGCAGCTTCACAGGCTCCTGGTGAACTCGATCTTTTTGTTATTCCTGTTGTTTTTGTTTTAACTTTATTTTTGCACCTACAATTTGCATCCACGGTACAGGTATGACCGCAACACACGTGGAGTTTTCTGTGTCGCTGTCTTTCCATCCTGCCATCGTGGTTCAGTCCTTCCAGCCTCGGGCTCAGGCCTGTCATGGCGGCCTTCTCCATGAGCCTCCATCTGCCTGCACGGACTGAACTCCACGGACCCATTCGGGGGAAAGAAACCTCGGATGTTCTCCGTCTGCCGGACCCGGTTCTGGAGGGCAGTCTGGGAGGGCAGCTGCTGCGGTCATTATTACCATCAAGCTATTGACGGGACCTGCTAACGCAGCTAACAGCACCACGCCGCTAACCGGACCTCACTGCTAACAGTATCATGCTGCTAACTGGACCATGTTGCTAAGATAACCTCCCTGTCATCAGAACCACTCTGCCAATAGGACCATGCTGCTGTAGATTTATTTCATTTTCACTTTTGGCGCCTTGTTTTTGTAGTTTTGTTGCATGCTTTGAATAAATCCCAGTTTATGTTAGGTCTGCTCCGAGCCCGACTGCTCGCATTAAGCATGTGAACTATAGTCAAACAGAACCTATGAAACCGTGCTGCTGTTGTTCGGTGTATTGTTTTGCAGTATATCTTGGATCTTTTAGCGTACTGTTGGGCGTTGGTTTAGCGTATATCTTAGTTGATATCTTAGACACTTATTTACTGATTCTTTTTACACTTTATGTTTTTGCTATTGTTGGATGTAACTAGGACCATGTGTACACAATTTCGTTCCACCTCATGTACCACATGTGATGCGAATAAATAAATAAAGAACCTTGAATCCTTGTATATCAGTCATAAAAGTCAAATAAATACAGTTTTTCATTTGTTCTTCACCAACTTCTATTTTAAATTAAAGATCTCTATTTCCTGTGGGAGTATTGTCCTCCAACTTTTCTGTCAATGTTTTAGACTAAGATCATTTGATGTTTGAGTCATTATAGTTATTTTGGTTGAACCTTAAAACTAGCATGGTTTGGCCTCGTCCCATGATCTGTTGATGCTTGGAGTATGTGTTGTGGATGCATGTGTGCTACTTCTACACTAAATTATTGCTCAACATTTGTAAAGTTCCCTGAGGTGCAGCCATTTTTTGTCTTTGTTATGTTTTATTAGCTGTGGCGGCCATCTTAATTTGGTGTGTCACCAAAAGTTAATCATGTGTAGGTGTGAAGTCAATAATTACTTTCTAAGAGTTTCATTGAAATCCTTTCAGCTATTTTGCTGATGTTACAGCAAATATCTTCCTTTTTGACTTTAAAATCCCCATTATGTCCTCTACTTAGTTCCTAACTGCGTGTCTCTACCTTTTGGTGCTGAGTAAGGAATGCGTCCTGTTGGGTTTTAGATATTTTCTGCTGAAAACAGCTGCCTGCTGCACCTGAACATGAAGCTCTGAGAGTGAACAAAAGGTTTGCTGAGCAGACAGCTGAACATGAGGCCAAAAGGTTAGTGAAGCTGAGACACATGGACTTTACTTTTAACTTATATCAAAATAATATGAAAATGGTTATAGTTCACTTAGTTTTACTGAGCAAACATTTGGTGTGGTAGAAGCTGAGATTTATCCCCAGCATGTACTCTGAGCACTAACAAACAGCTGGAGTTTTTGTTTAAAACATGGCGTGCAACTAAGGCGGGGACTAGTCATTCTTTCTAGAGAAGCTAGTTTCACTACTTTGTAGTTAATCCTAGTCTTAATTATAATACAGGTGTTGTCAACAAATTTGGGGTGTTGGGTTTAATGTTTGAAAGACAAGTGGAAATAACCTGAGAATAAGATTTAGTCCCATTATAAAACAAATCTAATTTTTTTTTAAAAACAATGGCTTTTTCTAATAAAAGCTTATTAAATGAGTTTTTTTTTGTGGTCCAGAGGTTACTCTGTTGTCTGGAAATGTACTTTAACACTTTGGACACCCAGTTTGCTGTTATTTTCTGTCACACCATTTTAGGACATAAACTAGATTAGCTCATTAAAAATGGAAATTAATGCTGTGAATTTAACACCCCCCTCCCTTGTTATACTTTTCTTAAACAAGTCAACAAGGAGGCTTAATAAAACCATAAGCGGTAATTATGTTCTTATTCCCTCTGCTCAGTTGAAGTAACTGATGGTTTGTGTCTTTTTTGCTTTGCAGATGGTACGTGCCTCTTTTCAGCCTCATCTTCCTGATGATCTGCTGCTACGCACGAATCATCTGGGTGGCCAATAACAGAGTGAGTGCTCAACCTAGCACACATCGTGTGTGTTTGCGTGTGCGCGCACGTTAATCTGACACTAATAAGGGGTAAAAATCACAAATTTGATCTTATATTTATGCTGGTGGGCATTATTTTGTTCATCTTTTCATTTAACCTTGGAGACTTCCTGGATCTCCAACCTCTAATGGAGTCAACAAATAGCTCAGGTTGGAACCAAGCCAACATTTTAGGCAGATTGTCTGAGCTGCTTTGTTTGGAGCTAAAATCAAGCGTGCACGTCAGAGCTGCAGCACGTTGGTAGATTCAAATTACGAGTATTAATGCTAAAAAGTTACAATGTTTTTGTTTATTTCATTGTTTTTGTACGGTTGGAGTGATAAAAGTTTACTTCTAACTCGTTTTGTCTGTAAATACACTTGATCAAGGTCAGAGCTAGACTAATACACAGACTGCAGTACGTTTTTAAATAAACTAATCAGTAAAGTGTAAAGAATTAATCTGATTTTTATTATTTTTTTGCAAAACAAACCAACGCCGTCACCAGGGTCTTCTATTATAATTATTGATCAAATAATGATGCGCTTTGGAGCCGAGTTTGAACATTTAAATGTATTTTTATATCCTGACAAGTCAAAGACACAGCTGCTACAGCTGCATTTTATTTATCACGCTCCTGTTTTTTATTGTTAGGATTTCCTCCATTTATCATTTAAAAATTAATAATAAATTAACAGCTGCATGCTTTTGGACTCTTGTTTGGGTTTTAAAGCTGCTGGAAAACAGTTTTCTCTTTCGGAACTGCAGATGTGTTTGCTTTGCAACATTTTAAACTTATCTAGATAATCAAAGTTCATGCTCAACAGTCCAGGTAAAAGTAGCACACTCACATAGTGGGCCAACCAGTTTGAGCTAGGTAATGAACTAACTTTTGCTTATGTGCTTTACACAGTGGCTTGAAGTTCTGCATAACTTTCCAAAGATGTTGCAGTCAGAGCCCAGACCTGTCATTTCCTCCATGCAGTCATCGATCCTTTACGTACCTGTAGTGTTGCAACTATAAGTTTTTCCCTCATCCCGTTTGATGTGATTCAGCTAATACAAAAAGAAAGTAAAAGAGCTGAAACCTCATAAGGCTCACTGTGAAGATTCATCATAAATGTTGGCATTCTTTCTTTGGGTGGCGATGGAGTGAGAGAGATTTTGCAGATAACCAGGTAGCAGAAAGGCGACAGCAGAGATGCACACCGGGTAGCTGAGGGCCAAGAAAAGGGAAAGAGGCTCCACTGCTCTTTATCACGACTGTGATAACGAGGGAGAATGAATGTGGCTGCATCTCATAACTCATTCCGCTCACAGCATTCGGCCATTTCTCCCTCTTTCTTCTCGTCTCTGCATCTGTCTTCCACCTTCCTCATTTCCTTTTTGCATTTGTACGTCTCTCTTTCACTCTGTCCATCCCCCCTTTTTTCTGATGTTTTTTTTTTTTTTGCCTTCCCTATCATATTTATGAAGAGCTCAAGCCTTATCTCGTTCCGGCTGGAGGCTGTCTCACTTGAAAGAGTTTCACAAGCTTTGAAAGCAGGGTACGTGGCGACTCGCCGTAGAAGGGGATAAAGCAGAAGAGGGGTGGGATGTTCACCGGACAGTTTTCACTCTTCCTAGACAACAGATAAGGGAGGCAGGGCTCAAAACTGTTAATCGTTGGTTTACCAGGTCTGTTATAAAAAAATTACTTGAACTCGTAACAGATTTTTTTTTAAATTCAGGTTTGAGATGCAGCTGTTCAAAATATGCTGCTTACACAAGTGCGTGTGTGCATACATTTTTGTTTCAGGTTACATTGCAGGGACTAATTTAGTTTTCGTTGGGGGGTTAGGGGTTAGGTTTAGGACTAAGGTGTGAATTGCGGATGGGTTAGGGTTAGGCATGTACTAGTAATGGGTAGGCTTACGGCAAGAGTCAGGGTTAGGCTATAGAAAATGAATGGAAGTCAATGCAAAGTCCACAAAAAATACATTTACAAGAATGTGTGTGTGTGTTTTGTCAGAGCCTAACCCTTTAATGTTTACCAGTTCAAAAGTTTTTGTTTTCAGTTTTTTGTTTTTTGTAGGTGGGTTTATGTAGGACCAATTCACGTCTTACCTGTTGCTCTAAACAACCTCAGCTTGGAGGAAAAAAGTTTAATTCTGACCCGACTGACTTGCTAATGGCTAATCCAAGCAAAGCTGCGACCACAGTGGATGTTACCATCTTCAAATAACTTTCACCTCAAACAGTTCATAGCATTTCATGTGGAAGCGGATTTATAAAGCTTTACAGCACTATCAGTTTTGCATTACATGGTTATTCCAGCAGAAATATTATGATTTTCCTGCTTGAAGTGACTGAAAGTGATACGACTAGCTGCTGTAGAAACTATTTCCAGTTGCAAATGACCATGTAATACTTGGTAAATAACCATTTAATGCAAAATGGGCAAAGATGTAAAGGTTTATGAAAGAGCATTCACATGAATTGCAAAAAAACATTTTTTGATACTTTAGTTGTTTTAAGACTAGTGGTTCGTTATATCTTGGCCTCATTCGTACTAGTCATTAGCTTCTCAATCCATTGAACAATTTACCTGTTTCTCCAAGATGAGGTCGTTCAAAGAGCCATCTATACCAGGTCAGGTAAGATATTGATTGTTGACAACCTTTCTACAATGCTCTATTCTAAAACTACTACTTAAAGAGAGACTGAAACTAAAGCCTGTGTGCACATGGGAAACCGGAGCGAAGCCTAATTATATTGCCACTTATTATCAGGGTCTGCTGATTGTGATGGATAGTGGTGCTCAGGTGGACAGCAGAGGGCTGCTGTGGAACTGGTTCAGTCTAATGACCAAATGGCTTCCCTTTTTGTGTCCCCCCCACTCACGCTGCACACATAGATTTACGATGACAATCACGTCAGCGCAGAGAAACCATGGCAACATTGAGTTAATAAATAGCAGAACAGAGGAGCTGTTAGTGCAGATTGTTCATGCTGCCTTTTCGTGCATGAAGCTCACAGAGGACCTCTGGAGTTTTGTCTCTGATGTTCTTGGGTCACACGAACCCTCTGACTTCCCGTGCTTGCCGCCCCCCCCCCCCCCCCCACACACACAAATCTCAATCTTGCGTGTGTGTGTGCACGTCTGTTGACATTTTCCTTCCATTCCCTCGAGAGAGGACACATAGAGAGAGCAAAACAAGTATACCCACGTTCTTTGCCGTTATCTCACATCTGCTGCGTTTACTCTGTTCTTTTCCTCGTTTTACGGAACTTTTATTTATTTATATATGTTCTCTGTGCCCCTTGTTTTCTTGTTCCCCCGTCATATTACGGGCACTGGAGCAGATTCGTTTTAGTGAGGCGCTGGGAGCTGTTTAAGTGCTCCCCTCTGCCTCTAAGCTCGGCACTCTGGTGTGAATTGGGCAATTTAGAAAGGCTGTGTGAGAAGGTGGAGGGATTTTGCATTGGCACGATAGCCAATGTGATATTTGTTCCAGTTCGTCACTGCAGGCACTGACCTCTAAACGTTCCTCTCTAGGGGATAAAAACATCCAGAATCACCACATTTTTCACCCTAAATAACCGCCCTCGTGCTTTCTTTTTATTATGTGTCTACAGATGCAGTCATGGTTGGGAACTTTCAACCCAGAAAGGGAGAGACGAAAGGTAATGAACTGACCCGCTTGTTTCTCCACACACATTTATGCATGCACACTGATCATGAGGATTAGAGATTTTGCAGGATTAGGGTTCGACCTGTTGCTGAGCAGGTGTCAAACATAACAGGAGCAGTTTTGCCTTTTTGTAGATGATGACAATGGAGGAGTGGAGAAACAGATTAATTATGAAGCGTTAACAAAACGGTTAAATTGACTGTTCAGACCATTTCAAGTAGGATTCTGTGGAAAGTTTGAGTAATTCACGTCTTACGTGTTGTAGATAACTCACCTCATTTAGATGGACAGATGGTTGGTTTGCTGGTTGGTGGGTGAGAATTTGCACACTCATCCCTGAGTAGAGTTTTATTCTGAGCAGATTGACGAGCTAATTGCTAGTCTGAGTGAGTTCAAAACCCAAGTGTATTGCTGCTGTCTTAAAACACCTTCAGTCTCAAAGGTTTAATAATGGTTCATACAAACAGTTTATTAAACCTTTACATTGCTGTTAGTTTTTTGTTACGTGGTTATTTACATAGAATTCTGTGGTTGCAAGTCAAATAGCTGTAGCACTTCCAGCAGGATTATCGTAATGTTTCCACTCAAAAAGACATGTAACATGAAACTAACAGCAGTAAATATGTTTGTACAATACCAAAAGCACGAGCACCTATAAAATTATAAGACTGGAGTTTTAAAAGGCAGCAGTCCACTTTGGTCCTGGCCCTGCTTGGACTAGGTGTTCACTCGTTAATCTGGTCAGGTTTAAACTATTTTTCCAAGCGGAGGTTGTTAAAGAAAAATCTTCTACAAGAGCTGAGATGTGACCTTTTCACAACTTTTCTACTAAACAGTTTCAAAGTTTGAACTATTCTTTGAAAAATTTCAGTAGTTGTAGCAGTAAGGATGGGCTAAAATACATCAAATTTCATGAGACTACCTATAGACCACCTACATATAGACTAACTGTAGACTACTTACCTATAGAATACATTTTAACCACCTACCTCTAGACTACTTATAGACCACCTACATGTTGACTATCTGTAAACTACCTATCTAAAGACCACCTACATATAGACTACCTATAGACCACCTAGCTATAGACAACCCACATATACACTACCTATAGACCACCTACCTCTAGACTACTTATATACCACCTACCTCTAGACTACTTATATACCACCTACCTCTAGACTACTTATAGACCACCTACCTCTAGACTACTTATATACCACCTACCTCTAGACGACTTATAGACCACCTACTTATGGACTACCTATAGACCACCTACTTTTAGACCACCTACCTATAGACTACCTATAGCCCACCTACTTTTAGACCACCTACCTATAGACAACCTATAGACCACTTACCTATAGACTACCTATAGCCCACCTACTTTTAGACCACCTACTTATAGACTACCTGTAGCCCACATACCTATAGACTACCTGTAGCCCACATACCTATAGACTACCTGTAGACCACCTACCTCTAGACGACGTATAGACTGCCTATAGTTATGTCAGGTTGACAGAAATGGTTTTAAATGCTGCAGTTTGAACATTTTGTTATCAGTTATATTTACAGTTAGACAAGGATTTTGAGACAGTAAATCTTTTCTTTTTTTCTACCTCTGCTGCTGATGTCAAACCCTTTAAGTCCCAAAGTTTATCCAAGTACATTGTGAAACTGTTTTAATCTACTTGCAAGTTACACCGTGTATATATTCCAAGTTGTACCAACTTTTTTCATTGACAACAGACACTGTTCATTCAAGAGTTTTCAAGCAAGACACCAAATCTTCACAGTTTTTTCTCTTAACTCAGCTCATTCAGAGTATTTGTCCTTAACGCTCCCTTAGAGCCGGCGAGCACCTTCCACAGAGGTGGTCAGTGAAACATGGAGCGATGGAAGCAGCAATGATCTGTCACCACCCTGTGTTTCCTCACCCCTCCTCCTCCTCTGCTCTGTCATCTGCACCCTGCAGGGTGAGGTGTGGAGGTGAGGTTAGGGTTAAGGTTATGTAGATGCTGCCCCTAAGTGGCAGGGATAATTACTACACACACTGAACTGGCGTAACCTTCACAGCGTTGTGTTTGTGTGTGGTGGCAGCACACACACACACTCACACACTCTTCATGTGGGCTAATTGCTATGTGTTGCAGAGAGTGTAAATAAGTCAGCAGCGGTTTTTATCACACTCATCCCTCGTATTTCTTTTTCCCAGTCAGTCGCTCTGCTCATTTCCATCGTTCTTTTCGCTCCCCCTCCCGTCTTTCTCTCCTGCTCTCGAGGCCCCCCTCCGTCTGTCTCTCTTTCTCTTGTACTCGTACGCAGCATGAATAAAGCAGCGAGCCAGGTTCATGGGCATGAATATTTATGAGAGTTTATGCGCGCGCTGCGATGCTTTAAAACAACAACAACAGCCTTCCAGATTGCTCTTGCCATGCCAGTGAGCGGCGGCTCGTGTGAGTGGGTGTGTGTATGTGTGTGTGTGTCTGTGTGTGTATGTGTGTGTCTGTGAGTGTAAAGTGTGTGAGTATGTAGCAGCAGGTGTAAACTAGAGAAAGCGATTCCTGAGGGTTGTCTAAAGACCGCTGGCTCTGGCTATTTCCATCCACTTGCTCGTGTCTCCCTCCTCTTGCACGTCGTTTCTCGAGTTTGTCATTCTTTAACTCTTCCTCATCCTGGCACCCTGTGGCACCATCCTTCCTGCGTGTCTCATCGGCGTGCAGACGTATATTACTAATGCTGGCACTTGTCGGGTCTACAAGTCAGGTGGTAGTGTCTGCTTCTGGGGTCATTTGTCTGTAAGCATGCACACACACTCGCAAAAGCCACAAGGTCTCGCAGCGGAACAGGTCATGGGGAGGGATATTTTGAGGCGGGTTATAAACACACACACACACGCACACGCACACACACACACCTTTAAGCACACTTTCACACACGCAGCAGCTCAGTCCCGTCAGGTAGCAACAAAACTGACTGTGCAAACATTGCGAGCCGCTTGCTCGCTATCTTCTCAAGGCATTTGTTTACAAATGCATGTGCGCTTGAGTACTAATGAGTGTGTGTGTGCGCATGCGTGCACATGTGTGTGTTTTAATCTGACACTAATAGGGGGAAAAAAATCACAAATTTGATCTTATATTTATCCTGTTGTTGGGCATTGTTTTTGTCCATCATTGCATTTAACTTTGGAGTTAGTTGGATTAGTTTTTTTAGCAGGTTTAAGAAAATTCAACTAGATGGCTAAAGAATTTACTAAGAGTTATTTTTTTTCCACACTTCAAGGTACTCATTACAAAGTATAACATCAAATATAAAATGGATTATCCTGACTATATTTGCTGCAGTTTGAAAGAGCTTAGTCTTCCCAATACCGTATTTTCTGCCGTACACGTTGCACGTCCTATAAGTCGCATCAGTCCAAATATATCTAATAAAGTGGAAAAAGCCGTAAATATGTCACTTCACCGTATACACCGCATCTATTATGTGTCACCGCTGACAACCCGGAAATTTGGGCCAAACCCAGAAATGTGGGCCGGTGTTGTGCCAAAAATCGATTGGCTGCCAAATAGCGGCCACGGGAGCATGCACGGGAGGATTTTAACAAGAATTTAACAAGATTAACACTTAAAAACAATTATTTGTTTGCTCGAAAAGATAGTAAATGTGTGTCTCAGTCAAACTTTTCCTTGATAAATGCACTTTGACTGTCAAATCAGCTGCATTTCAAAAGTATTCGCTGCCCCGGTGCTCCGGGAGCGCGCTGTGAGGGAGGAAATCAGGAAGGAAGAACGCTGCGCATTTCTTTGAAATTTAACAAGATAAGCACCTAAAACAATTATTTGTTTGCTCGACATTATAGTAAAGGTGTGTTTCAGTTGAACTTTTACTTAATAAATGCACTTCATTGGTCAAATTAGCAGCATTTCGCCAGGGCAGTGCAGTTAAATGAAGCTGATTTAATTGTTGCTCCAAGCGAGCTGGACATAAGTGAAAGACAATGACAAGCCGATCGTATCACTAATAGCCAATTTTATCTATTACATGACACAACGGCATGCCATCGAGGCAGCGAATACTTTTGAAATGCAGCTGATTTTACCGTCAAAGTGCATTTATTTAGGAAAAGTTAGACCGAGACACACGTTTACTATCTTTTCGAACAAACAAATAATTGTTTTTAAGTGTTAATCTCGAGTGCCATCTAGTGGCTGACAATGGTAGTGTTCAATTATATCTCAGCCAAAAATTGGTTAATAAATATGGGAAAAAATTGATAAATACGTCGCTTCGGCGTATAAGTCGCAGGGCTTGCAAATTATGCAAAAAAAACGTGACTTATAGGCCGAAAAATATGGTATATTGATATTCCATTCTGAAATATGGGTTTGCACACACATGTAAATAAGCGCTCAGCTGGGTCTGCCAAAACTTAAGTGGTCTTGTGCTTGACCTACTTTGGCCATAGTGTGTGTAGGTAAACAAATATCAGACAAGCATCGAAGGTGATTAGATGGGAATATAGAGTGAGTCTTCTCTTAATGCAAAAGAGTGAGTAAGAAAACTCAAGAATAAATAGAGGGGGATCAAGCAGGGAGGTGGAGTGCCTTAAGGACAGAGCTCAGCATTCAAACATGTGGCTTTTGTAGATCGTCTTCTTGACTGATAGATTAAACTGTAAACTTCTTTATTCAACAAATACGAGTGAAAATCTGTACACGTACATTGATCTGCTGGACTTTGTGATCCCAAATGACTCTTTCGTGGATGACACCATTGTTGATGTGTTCAGTCACTTTGACTGTTTCTGTGAGTAAACAAACACATGATGTCCCTCGCTACTTCGCAGTTTGTTTATCATGGACTCGCTCTATCGCGGTTTTTCAAACTAAGATTGGACATGACACAGTTAGCTGATTGATGGATGAGCCGCACAATCGGCATGGAATTTTTATTTAAAATAAATTATTTTAAATTATTTAGCACCTCCTGCACCATTGTGCAGCCCACACTGCAGGAAAAACTTCCTGCTGCAGCTGATCAGCTGTTCTCCATGCAGAGCGGAGAAGTGGGCGTGGCCAATAGTGCTTGCAGGTGGCATGGAGCAGAGGAGGCAGAGAGCTGAAATCATGACATTCTGTGCTCTTTTAGAGCGTTTAGAAACATTGTTTATAATATTGCAAGTGTGTGGGAAGAGTTAAAATGCCTTATATATATATATAAATAAATATATATATATATATATATATATATTTTTATATAAATATATATATATATATATATTTATACAAAAATAAACTACTACTTGCTACTTGTACTACTATTTCTACTTTGCGTTTTTTTCACTTATCGCGGGGATTTAGGGTATGAATCCCGTGATAAACGAGGGACTACTGTATACTCGAACGTTATGAAAAATAAAAAAGTGCAGTTAGTCCTTGGAATCATTGTCCTATAAAACTTTAAATAATTTATCATTTTACTTCAATAAAAGTTGATTGTATTGTGGTCGGGGTGCTTTTAGTAAAGCCAGTGCTGTTATTTTTAGTGCGAGCTTGTTGTGAGCGAGGCGAGCTGCATCCGAGTGAGGGTGAGTGCTGTGGGTGGTGGAGAGATGGGGAGGGAGGAGGGGGGGAAGGGTTGCTCCCGATAACTGTCTGTAATCTAGTGTGTGTCATTAACGTCGGGACTGCTGCGCCTGCTCCACATAATTATGGTTTCATTCCCCTCTGCTTCCCGAGCAGCGCAGGGGCCTCTGACACCGGAGGACTGTGATTAAAAACACGAGGCACTTCACCCGCGCTCTTCCTCCTCTCCTCCACCGCCCTGCATCCTGTCTGATACGCTCTGAAACTCGCCTAATTCTGTCTGAGATTACCTGGCTCACTGCAGGCTTTTTAGAACCCCTGTTTTTTCCCCTCGTTATTTATTTTTATCGTTTTGTCCTTGGACATATACTTTGCATCCTTCTGGTTCCTGGCTTACTATTTTTATCCATCATAAGATGACAATAGGCAGATTTTGACATGGCCGGTGACGCCAGTTTCCCATAATAATAGCCACTAATAGGGCTAAGTCTGCTAATGTTTGCCTGTGGGTTGTGCTGTTCCTGACAGTGATACGACTGGTCTCATTTGGTCCCAATCAGCCTGCATTTGTTATACACTGGTTCCTGTATTAAATACCACACATGCAACATATATTTATATACAGCCTGAGCAGCACTTGCATATATAAGATAAAATGCCACCGTATTTTCTTCTGAATTGTTGAAAATGCCTGTTAGAGTGAGCGTTCACGCCTCAGCGTCTTTCTGGTGAGTAATTAATTTCCAGCATGTGGGGGTAGAGACCAGAGCTCGTGAGCCTGCCTCCTGGCTCCGACTGTCAGTGTTTGTGTGTGTGTTTGGGGGGGGGTATTTCCAGATAGAATAAAAGAGAGGGAGACATTGCGCTGGCTTGGAAACTGCGTCCTACCCTAAGAGAAAAAAACAGCACAACGCAGAAAATCGATCCAGGGGCCGCTTTTCTCAGCCTCTTCCGGATGCAAGAGTCCTCCTCTCCCGGGAATTAGATAACGGCTTGTAAAAGCTCTCCAGCACCGAGCTCTCCCCCTCCTCGACTTTTAGCTGCTGCATCTCCCCGTCTTCCTGCCTTCCTCCACACAACACCGCCTTCATCTTCTTCGCATATCTGCAAAGTATTATCCAGTTTAATTGGAATCCTCATTTCTTCTCACAACTGTGTGGATATTGTGTGTTTTCTGCAGGTTAATATTTTATTAGGTTCTAATTGGCCTTTGTTGTACGCCTCAGTGCTGTGATCTCCCAGTTAAGACACTAACCATGTGCTCCTGTGCGAAACATAAAGACAGTAGTGTTCTTGTGGGCTCACTTTCTTTGTGTTTCTCCTGCAGGTTTCCCTGGCTGAGGAGATCAAGCCGCTGAAGTGGTACCCCTCCGTTTACCTGCTGGTGTCCATCTTTCCCCTCGTTAACAGGTAGCGCACAGTCGCACCTGTCCAAAGCATGAAAAAAATAAAAAATACGCTGAGGTTTGATTTGCATGACAGCTTCGTTCTGCTATCTTATCGCCTCTCGGCCTCCCCTCCCGCTCAGCCTCACCACTTCTCCTCTCTTGTTCTCTCTTATCTGAACTCTCACAAAGCTTTGCTGTCGCAGTACGAACACTTAGAGGAATGTGCGTGCGTGCGTGCATGCATGCGTGCGTGTGATGGAGGAATAAAGAATTTATTGCCTTTTATAAAACCAGTGCTTCATCAGCATCGGTGTGGTTGGTGGAGGCAGGTGGTCTAGTAAATGATAACCCCAGCGCTGTTATTACTTCTCCCCACCACGCTCACACACATGCACACCCTCCCCGCTCGCCCCCTCTCTCCTCCCCCGAATAGAGCCGATGTGATTGACAGGTCAGGGTTACTAAGTGATTAGCTGCAGCGGCTCTGGTTGTCGCCACGGCAATGTAGGCGGAGACACAGGTCAATTACAGGGTCAACGTCTTTCAAAAGCTCGGCTCGAACACTGCCCACCCTCCCTCCCCTCCCCCTTCGTTTGCCCCCTTTACCCTTCCTCTCTGTTTTTCTCTCTCCGTTCACTTCTCCATCCATCCCATTCCTTTTCTTCCTCCCTCCCTCCCTCCCCAGCCCAGGCTGTCAGCTGATGAAGATGACAAACTGCATCCTGAGCAAACCTCGAACCGTCGTCCTCTCCTTCCCCGTCCCTATTACCAATTCCTCTTCCCTCTCTCCCTCTTTTTTACGCTCTAAAAGTCTTTGTTATAGCCCTCCATATTTTTACTCTTCCTCGCGCGGGCTTTCCATCTTTCTGCTCTGTTTTTTTTTTGGTCACCCCCACTTTCCTCCCCCTCCACTTTTCCCTCTCCTCAGCCACACAAAGCCCTCACTCTCTCCCTCTCTTGAGCAAATACGCTCAGCTCCGCTCTGCCTTTCTCCAGAGAATGAACGAGGAGAAAACAGGAATGAATTGCTCTCTCGTCGTCCTCCTCCTCCCCCTCCATCCCACCTCCTCCTTCCCCATTCAGCAGCGCTGCCTGTATATATCTCCGGCTCCTATTAATTTGTTAGCCCCCCACTCCCCTTCTTCCTCCACACCCTCCTTTGCCTCATATCCTCCTTC